TAGTGTGTGTGTGTGTGTGTGTGTGTGTGTGTGTGTGTGTATATATATATATATATATATATATAATATATATATATATATATATATATATATATATAGAATAAATAACAATATATATATATATATATATATATATATATATAATATACTTGTTCTTGTATTGGTGTATTTCGTCCGGTGCGGGTTCATGGCCGAATTAATATGCTAATTACCTTGTTGGTCATATAGGCTGATCTTGGGAACCCCTATGGCTATACACCACGCAACTATACTCCCCATGCGTTCAACATTACACTCCTCGTTGACAATGATAGCCACATGTCTTGGCGCTTTCGGAATGTCTCTGAACAATAAGTTGGTAAATTTTTCGTGTAACTTGTATGTACCCCTAGTTTGTGTCTTGATACTATAGCACCAAGCTTGCAGCGCCGCGAGCGTGCCGTTTAAAATCCATTGAGCCCTTTCCGAGTACTGCTTCGCCTGCGAGCGTACATTATACAGAACACTTATGCATTTAAATGTAATATATGAGAGCGATTTCTTCGTGGTTCTGACGGTTATACCTGTACTGTCTAGCAGTATCTCTAGTAAGGATACACTAAAGGCAAACGCCATAAACACACAGGTGGCGCACCAACTTAGGATCTGTGCACACCGTGCTTTGAGGCTTGCCATATTGATTGTATTATACTACTAGTTTTTCGCCGTCTGTGAATGCTCCGCTATATATATATCAAACTCTAGTTTATAAATTAATCTTGCTAAGTGATACGGAAACCTCCACTGCCACTGCCACTGCCACTGCCACTGCCACTGCCACTGCCACTACCGCTACCAGCGTCACTACCACTACCACTGATACAGCAGCAGAGTTTCAGGGTCAGAGAGCAGTGTGGTGATAGGATAGTTCTGTGAGAACACTCGCGCAGAAAGCCAAAAGTCAGCCAACTTTTTTGTAGGGTTTTGAATGTATGCGGATTTGCGATTACTTCGGGGGAAGTTCAGGTGCAGCCGTCCAGTCTCCAGATGAGACCAGGACTCCCCATATGATACCAGGACTCCCCAGATGAGACCAGGACTCCCCAGATGAGAACAGGACTCCCCAGAAGCATATGGCGGATTGCGGTCTGCGGAAACAATAATCTTCGCGGAATGTAAAACGTCATTTTATGTAAATACGTTTTAAAAAAATATTTGTGATAGAAACGTTATTCTTATGGACTGTACTGTACATAGAAGAAAAAAGTATACGTTTTTAAATACGTTGAGACATTAACCCGAACGCCGGCATATATATAAATAGTGATCGAGCCTCGAATCTACGATTATACGTCCATGTGAGATCTTGTGAGAAAAATCAAATACCAAAGTGTTTGATTATAGAAGAAGGCTATTTATGTTTTATGACACATTGTCATCTTGAAGACATGATGACATGATGACATGATGACATGATGACATGATGACATGATGACATGATGACATGATGACATGATGACATGATGACATGATGACATGATGACATGATGACATGATGACATGATGACATGATGACATGATGGCATGATGACATGATGACATATTGACATGATGACATGATGACATGTTGACATGTTGACATGTTGACATGATGACATATTGACATGTTGACATGTTGACATGTTGACATGTTGAATTGTCACCTTGGCACATCCACATTGAAGTTCTATTCTGAATGCGGCTTTTTATACTGAAGAGTTAAAATGCTTATTACAGGCTCTCCTCTACTAGTAGTCCCTCACTGTCACTGACTCACTTTCCTATCTCGCTCTCTATTTAAATACAACACTCTTGAGCACTCTCGCCTTCTTATTGTGTAGAGATAGACTCAAGTGACTTCACAGAGCGCTGTGCGTGGACTGTGGATCTCCTCTATACATATATAGATATCTAAGTAAATACATACGATTGTAATATTTACAAATAAATATATGGATACATGTATACAAGATTTTAAAAAAATCTACACATACCCATGTTAAACATTCAAAATATTACATAATCAAAATATCATGGTCCTGAAAAACGATGTACAAACAATACCATACCATATAAGCTCAGTGAAATGGATTCCCGTCACAGAAGAAGCGGAAGTCCTTTGCATGGGCACTTGGGGATCTAGAGTATGTTTTGGCTTTTCTAGATAAAACGACTGGATGTTCGTTGCTTTTGAATGTTGTATACTTCAATTAGTATTTAGTGATGCTCCAATTAGTATGTATGTTCTGGCGGTTATATA